ACCTGGATTTAACTAAGCAAATAGGTAAGAGACTCCTATAGGATAGTTACTGCATGGGCGATTATCTTTCAGCTGGAAACAAATTATTTAACCCCAACTGATGAAATGAGTAGCTCCTCATTTCTTAAACAACCATGTCGAAAGACACATCCCGTGGCCATGGAAAAGATGTTAGTTTGTTTGCGAAGGGTCAAATCATTGGCATGCATCAAGCAGAGAAAAACATCTAAGGAGATTGCAGAAACTACTAGAATTGGGTTAAGAACTGTCCAATGCATTATTAAAAGCTGGAAGGATAGTGGGGAACCATCGTCTTCGAGGAAGAAATGTGGTCGGAAAAAAATCCTGATTGATCTGGATAAGCGATCGATTAAACGTTTGGTGAAATCAAATCGTAGAAAAACAACAGTAGAACTCAGGGCTATGTTTAATAGTGAAAGTAAGAACATTTCCACACGCACAATGTGAAGGGAACTCAAGGGACTGGGACTGAACAGCTGTGTAGCCTTAAGAAAACCACTTATCAGTGAGGCTAATAGGAAAAAAATGCTTCAATTTGCTTGGGAACATACAGATTGGACTCTGGAGCAATGAAAGGTCATGTGGTCTGATGAGTCCCGATTTACCCTGTGATATGTGCATCAGGGTAAGAAGAGAGGCAGATGAAGTGATGCACACATCATGCCTAGTGCCTACTGTACAAGCCTGCAGGGGCAGTGCTATGATCTGGGGTTTCTGCAGTTGGTCAGGTCTAGGTTCAGCAACATTATGTGCCCAATGAATGAGGTCAGCTGACTACCTAAATATACTGCATGACCAGGTTATTCCATCAATGATTCATTGGGCTCACATTGTGAAAGAGTGGTTCAGGGAGCATGAGACATCATTTTCACACATGGATTGGCCACCACTGAGTCCAGACCTTAACCCCATTGAGAATCTGTGGGATGTGCTGGAGAAGGCTTTGCGCAGTGGTCGGACTCTCCCATCATCAATACAAGATACTGGTGAAAAGTTAATGCAACACTGGACAGAAATAAATCGTGTGACATTGCATAAGCTTATCAAAACAATGCCACAGCGAATGCATGCCGTAATCAAAGCTAAAGGAGGTCCAACAAAATATTAGAGTGTGTGACCTTTTTTTTTGGTGGCGACTTCTTTTTGGGCCAGGTAGAGTATAATAAATTAAACAACCCGTGGTGTCGACTTTTACAAATGGTATGCATTTACGGAGAAAACTGAACAGTCAAACTGTTACAAGCCCCAAAATAAGATATAGGCCCACCAAACCCTCTCTAAAAAACATAAAAACTGAAATAGTTAGGTATTTTTGGCACCTTAACTTTACAAGATTGGGGCATACATTTGGGGTATTGTTTTATATAGAAGAGTTTGATGTGCATAATTTTATAGTTTTGATTATAAGAGCACATATCAGATTTGCAAAATGCCGAGCAAAATTGCAATTTGTAAGTTCAAATTATATTTTACTCCTTGCATTTTGTGACCTGTAATTACCAAAAATAAACTGGAATCCTAGACATATGACTTTCTGTAAATCACAACAAATAAATGAATTTATTTTGAATACATTTTCTTAAACTGCATTAATTCTGCGCACATTAATATTGCCAAAACTGTGAAAAAAAATTTTTATAAGAAAAGTGGATTTATATATGTCACGTCAAATTAAAGTCCCTCTTGTCCTTTAAAAACAGTAAGTTCATACAGCTGAAATCTACAAAGAAAAAAAAATATAACAGCGTGATAAAATAAAAATACACAGCACTGCACTGATTAAAACTACACTCACAAGAAAAAGTAGTTATTGTAAAAATAATAATTAAATAATAATTAAATAATGTTCCTATGTCAGAATATGTATAGAAAACACAAGAGACCGGAAGGTAGGACAGGGAAAAACTTGCCCCTCCCGTCTCTTGAGTGAATTAGGTCACCTAGATTAGGTCACCTAGACTGGAAAATAGTGGATAACCCAAAAGATAACAAATTAAAGAAAATAACCCCCTTCCCAATTTATTACACTGCCCTGCTCCCTCAGATTAGCACACTACCCCCTCCCAATTTAATACACTGCCCCCCTCCCTCACCCAAAATAATACTTTGCCCCCTACCTCAAATTAGCACACGACCCCCTCCCAATTTAGTACACTAGCCCCCTCCCTCACACAAGTTAATACTTTGCTTTGGTACTCCTTATACTTACTTTTGAGATTGGACTGGGTTCCTTTCCTATTGGCTACCTTCTAGTAAGGCAGCTTTTTGGATAGTATATTTTCTTTAATGTTCCTACGTGTTTCTTCCCCTGTGGGGTTTCCTCAGGGACCAACAATAAAAACATACAGATGAAAACGCCATATTTTTAGAGCAGCGGAGGAATTTGAAGGCATGCTAGCCCCACATCCATCAGGGGAGGCACCCGCATAAAACTAATATTTCTTGTGAGTGCAAATTTAATCAGTGCAGTGCTGTGTATATTTTATCTATCACACTATTATCCTTGCAGATTTCAGCTGTATCCCCTACTCATTTTGCACGAGATTGTTTGTGGGGACCTTCACTAGGGAGGTTGTTAACTATTTCCACACATTTGTTAAGCATTCATTTATTGGTGGGGGGAATAGATTGTTTTGCCTTTTGCAATACATGAGAAAGATGGAAATTGAGGTTGAAAGCACACATAGCAAAAATGACAAAATTGCTTTGATCCTTAAAGGGTTATTCCAACCCTTTTTTACTATAGTTTTTTTCCCATGCATAATGTCCCCACTCCTTAAAATATTATTACAAAATCAAGCAATACTTTACCTTAAATCCACCCCCTGCTGAAGCTCCCGGTACGACTTTCCACTTTCTGACACCACCTCAGCTGTCGCAAAAGCCAATCAAAGAGAAGCATTTGATTGGACGGTTTCACCAGCTCAGAGTGCATGCACATGCTCTCAGAGGATACGGAGAGGGAGTGAGAGAGGGAGGGTGAGTACGAATAATTATTAAAAAAACAATGAATTAAGGATTTAAGGAGGGAGGAAGGGACGCGAGGGACCTTGAAGTTTCCCCTTGCCGGTGCTGCCTGCACTTTAGAAGATCTCCCTTCATGACCCTGATAGCTGGGGGCCAGCCAAGCTGCTTGTCATGTTGCATGCTGCCCCTTTTTTGGGCTGACGTGTCCCCTTTTTTGATGAGACTGATGTCTTCTGAGCAGCGCCGCCCATTGTGGGCATTGCTAGTAACGCTTGCGATGTCTCCTCCAAACTCTGCCCAACTGTCCTGATTTACAGTCAGACTCCCAGTCCTCATCCTCCCAGTCTTCATCCTTATTATGGACTTGCCAGCCAGCCCACTCTTAATTTCAAGGCCCTATCAAAGCAGCAAACTTACAATATTATCTTCCTGGTTTCCCTGCTGATCAATGTAGGAGGACCTTGTTTTCCCATGATAGAACGGGAGACCTCTAAGCAAATGATACAATATACTAGTCCCTCGTGATTCACTTCCAGCAGGATTATAGGATCATTAATTTAAGGGAGGGAGCCAGTGAATTAATTTGAGGGAGGAAGGGGGCCAGTGAATTAATTTAAGGGAGGGAGCCAGTGAATTAATTTGAGGGAGGGAGGGGACCAGTGTATTAATTTAAGGGAGGGGTCAGTGTATTGGATTTGGGGGCAATGTATTAGAGTGGGAGGAGGGGCAGCGTATTAGATTGTTTCTGTATGGAGGCGCTGAACGCTCCCCATGGAGATGCTGATTGGCCAGACAGCTTTTTACCACACATGCACAGTAGCCTCCCAATGGCCTCCTATGGGAAAGCATTGGATTGGCTGAGATTATCAAGTTTGATGATCTCACTCAAAGTGAAGAACACACTCATAAGACTTTAAAATCAACAAAATAACGTCATTTTGGTTTTTTTTACAGCTGTGCAACAGCATACATTCTCCATTTAAGTCCCATTACCAAACTATTCTTAGTATGTCAAAGTAGTTTGACTGAAACTTTGGTTATATGTAACCATGTGATGTCATCATTTATTACACAAATTAGCATGGCCATTTTTTTTCCACAAACTTGCCAACGCTATGGCTTCTAATCGGTTTATGGGATCAAGAGCCCACTTTAGCAGAGAGGACTGGGCAACGATTGGGCAGTTAGTGGCAGTACTTCATTCTTTCAAGGATCTAACTGAGAACTTGAGTCAGAACACTGCTACTCTGGGGTAGCGCATCTTGAGCAAGATTGATGACATTCGTCAGTCTCATAAATAACTCTGTATATTTAGAATGTTGTTTAGAAATGTCACATGAGTGACAATTTACTTCACCCTTGATTGACTATTTTCTTGTTATCTTTCCAAAAGACATGGTAAAAGATTTTTTATTATTTCTTGTGAGACAGAGAGGCAGTTGAGTTTATTTGTAGTTGCACTATGCCTCAGTGCCACTGCTTGTGTGTGCTGTAAATTCCTATACTTGGGGCAGCTTATTGCACAAGTGAATCCTGCTCTGAATGTAACAGGTCTTTTTTAACACTTTGTAGAAAGAAAATCCGAGTGTTTAGTTTAATGTGCTGCAGAAGCAATGGTGTTGCAGACAAAGTACAGCACCATTAGAGAACCACTTTTAGCCCCTTAAAGCCGTTACTGCGTTCTATGCTGTCCCACATTTAATGGGCTTTAAAGCTGTTGCTGGGCAATAGAATGCCGTAACAGCTTTCACCCCATGAGTTGGATCAACAGCAACAACATTTGTGAGGAAGCTATGTAACTATGTAACTATGTAAGTTGCCGGGTACTTACCTTACCAAAATTTTGCAGGAAACCACAGGTTGAGAATCTCCCATATATATACTTTTACATATATTTTTTTTTACCAGGCACCCCTGCTGGCTGCCACACTTTCCTCAGGCTCCTGACCTTTCCAGGAATGATCTTAATTTTAACCTCCCTACACTCATAATTCATCAGAAATATTTCAAGGACCAATCCTCAATTTAAGCCTCTATCACAGCAGGCCAGACAGTTACCAGAACCACTACAATGGAATGCCAGATTGCCCCAGTTTATGGTCCACTTTTACAAATGTGGAAATAAAGGGAATTAAAAGAACCATGCAAGAGTTACACCCTACTATTAACGACTTAGTCGCTGCTCCAACTCAGCTTATATCTGGATGCATTAATACATTCGCCCCAGCCGTCACAAAAATAGTGCAGTGTTCACTAAAAACTGGAGACTTCCCAGATCCTCTAAAAGAAGCCTTTATTAGACCCAGACTGCATGGCTAATTACAGACCAGTATCCAACCTTCCCTTTCTGGGGAAAATAATTGAAAAAATCGTGGCAACTCAACTGGAGGCCCATCTATCAAGCTTGCACATCTCTGATCCTTTCCAGTCAGGCTTCAGATGCACTGAAACAGCGCTAGTCCGAGTGCTAAATGATCTCCTTATGGCGAGAGACAAAGGTTATTACTCCATCCTAATCCTCTTGGATCTCTCAGCTGCTTTTGACACCATTGACCAAAGGATTTTAATAGAGCGTTTGCAGCACATCTGTGGTCTAGGAGGCACAGTCCTTAACTGGTTTAAATCTCTCTTCACTGGTAGATCATAGAGAGTAACATCAGGATCAAGCTCATCGGCACCAACAGAACTGGCCTGCGGAGTTCCACAAGGATCCATCTTGTCTCCCGCGCTATTCGCACTCTTTACTTGCTACCACTGGGGGACATCATTAGGCAACATGGCCTAAGGTATCATTGTTATGCTGATGACACACAACTCTACTTCTCCTTTGCTCCAGATACCACAGACCCAACATGCCGCATCAACAGTTGCTTAGCAGACTGCATAGAATGGATGAATGCTAGTTGGCTTAAAGTGAACCCAGACAAAACAGAGTTACTCTTGGTGAAGAGACCCCGGGCAACAAAAATATCCCATGATCACCCAACTGGCCTCGTTAGTTCATCAAAGGTACGAAACCTCGGAGTGCAGATTGACTCTGGACAATCATTTAAACAGCAGATTTCCTCCATAATAAAATCTGCCAACTTTCACCTGGAAAAACATAGCCAGGATACAACACTTAATTCCACCGGATGATATGCCAACATTAATCCATGCTTTGTATCCTCTCTGCTAGATTACTGCAATGTACTTTACTTGGGTCTCCCAGAAAAAGAACTCCATCGCCTTCAGACAGTACAAAATGCAGCAGCCAGACTACTGACCAATCAAACGCGCTCCTGCCACATAACAACTGTTCTCCACTCC